TTGAGATGGAGTTTTTGCTCTTATTGCCGAGACTGAGTGCAAGGCACAGAATCTCAGTTCACTTGCAACCTCGCTCCCAGGTTCAAGCGATTCTCCTGCGCTCAGCCTCCCAGTGCTGCGTATTACAGCATGCACCACCACACCCGGCTAATTTTTGTATTTTTTTAGTAGAGATGGGTTTCTCCATGGTTGGTAGGCTGGTTCTCGAACTCCTTGACTTCAGGTTGAAAAAAAAAAAAATTGTTTGCAGAGATACTACTATGTGCTACTGTTCTAGATTCCTGGCTGAAATAATCCAGATATAGCCCCTGCTCATGGAGTTTACTACATTCTAGTGGGGAATGAGACAATAAATAAGTAAACAAAACCAAATACACAATATTTTCAGATAGTGGTGCTCTATTGCCTCCATTTTCTTCTTTCTGAGGTCTTAGTTTTCCTTAGGGAATTATCCATTTGCTAGTGTTTATCGAGCAGCCACTCTTTTCTAGGTACTCTACTACAGGTGGCCTGCTAAAACATCAAATGGTTTAAAAGTAGAGATGAGACATTTGAAAGATACTTTGTGTATTCAGAACCCTATTACCTAGGAAAAGATTTTTATGACTGGTAAATCATGCCCACCTAAATATTTCTCTTCTTGCTCTTCTAAGCAGAAAACCCCAGATAATTAGCTGCTGGTATGAAAATTCATTCTGTAACACTTTCTTTATTATTATTATTATTTTTGTTGTTGTTGTTGAGCCTGGGTGACAGAGGGAGACTATTGTCACAAAAATAAATAAACATAAATAAACACTGGCATAGATTTCTCACATTTTAACTTTTTTTTTTTTTCTTTTCTTTTCTGAGTGTAGTCTCGCTCTGCCATCGCCAGAGCATACGAAGCGAGAATGCAGTGCCACAATCTTGGCTCACTGCGCCACCATCCACCTACACATGGAATATACACAAGCCATAATCTCCTGTACTAGAATGTCATAGCTGGGAAATTACAAGTGCACATGCACCCACGGACCTGGCTCTTTTTTATTTGAGAACGGAGTCTTGCTGTGATCGCACCACAGAGCAGGATGCAGTGGCGTGCGATCCTCAGCTTCTCTGCAACCCTCCTGCCTCCCAGGTTCAAGTAATTCTACCTGCTCGGGCCTATCAACAATGAAGTACCTGGGCGGGACATCGACTGTACGCCCACACACAATCCAGCCTATTTTTTGTATTTTTGGTAGACGATTGGGATTTCACCGTGTTAGCCCAGATGGGTCTCAATCTCCTGATCTCGCCTGCCTCGGCCTCCCAAAGTGCTGGAGTTTACAGGCAATGAGCCACTGCGCCCAGGCCTAATTTTTTTCTATTTTTAGTGTAGACGGGGTTTCACCATTGTTGGCACAGGCTAGCCTTGCGAAACTCCTAACCCTCACGTGATCTGCTCGCCTTCGGCCTCCGCAAATTCGCTCGAATTTCAGGCCATGAGCCACCTTGGGACCAGCTTATCTATTGCATAGATTTAGAATCCTCTCGGTTTCTTTACATGTTTCTTTTTCGGGTGGTTGTTTTTACTTTGAGAATGGAGTTTTGCTCTCTTGTCACCCAGGCACCTTATATATTATCTTTTTCGTTGGGTCTTTTCTCCTTTTCTCTAACGTTGGTGTTTTTGTTTGAGACAGTCTTGCTCTGTCACCAGACCTGGAGTGCGTCGGCCGCAATCCTCAGCTCACGCAATCTCCACCTCTCGGTCAAGCGTACTTCTCCTGCTCAGTCCTGAGTAGTCAGACTCCACAGGTACGCGCCAACCGACCCCAGCTCAATTTTGTCTTCCGTTTTAGTAAGAGATGGGGTTTCACAGTATTGGCCGGATATCTGGATCTCTTGACCTTGTGATGCACCTTGGCTCCAAGCGACAGTACTGGGGATTACAGGCGTGAGGCCGCTGCACCTGGCCAACACCCACCTAATTTTTGTCTTTTTTTTTTCTTCTTAGAACGCAGTCTGTCTGTTGCCAGGCTGGAGGTATGGCTCACTGCAACCTGCTCACATTCAAGCAGTTCGCTCAGTCCCGTAGCTGGGATTACAGGCCACGGCCGGGGCTACTCGCGCTATTTTTTTTTTTTATTTTATTTTTTTTTTCTTTTCACGCTGCGACACGGGTTTTCTCTCGTCAGAACTCCTACCTCGTGATCCGCCTTGGCCTCCAAAGTGTTGGGTTCGCTGCGGCCACCGGGCGGCTGTGCGCTTACATTCCACACCTTTTTTTTTTTCTTCATTTCACTTTATTCTTTTTGCTTCTTCTGGGTTCTCTTTGCTGTTTTTTTTTCGTTGCGACCGACTTTTTTTCTGCCCGGCTGGGCGTGCGTCGGCGGTTTCAGCTCACGCCCGCCGGTCAGCATTCTCTGTCGTCCACCGAGTGTGGGACCTCGGGCACTCTGCCTGGCTAGTTTTTGTATTTTTTAGTAGAGAGCGCGGGTTTTCCACCCCGTGTTAGCCAGGATGGTCTCGATCTCCCTGACCTTCGATCCGCACCGATCTCACGGCCACTCAACCAAAGTGCTGGATTAACAGAGTTGAGCCCCAACAGACACAAAAACAAGGGCACACATTTTATTTATTTTTTGGAGATGAGAGTACTTGCTTATATAACGCCAGACTGGAGTGCAGTGGCATGATCCATTGGGCTCACGCATTCTTGCCTCCGGAGTTCAAGTTGATTCTTGGTGCCTCAGTCTTCCTGAGTAGCTGGGATTACAGGCCACACCCATCACACCCAGCTAATTTTTGTATTTTATTTTTTTTGTTTTTTGAGACGGCGTCTCGCTGTGTCACCCAAGGCTGGGTAGTGCAGTGGTGTTGATCTCGGCTCGACTACAACCTCCGCCTCCCGGGGTTCAAGCAATTCTCCTGCCTCAGGCTCCCGAGTAAAGCTGGGGACTAAGCACACAGCACCCATGCCTAACTTTTTTTTTGTATTTTTAGTAGAGATGGGGGTTTCACCGTGTTGCCCAGGTTGGTCTCAAACTCCTAAACTCAGTCAATCCACGCCGCCTCCGCCTCCCAAAGTGCTGGGAATTGTAGGCGTGAGCCACCGAGGCCTGGCCAATTTTTGTATTTTCAGTAGAGGGGGGGTTTCACCGATGTTAGCCAGGATAGTCTCGGATCTTCTGACCTTGTGATCTGCCCGCCTCGGCCTCCCAAAGTGCTGGGATTACAGGTTGTGAGCCACTGCGCCGCCGGCCTGACCTTGTCTCTTAAATAAATAGTCAGACTGTCCTGAATTCAGTTCTATACTTTGGTGCATACCAGCTATGTGTGATTTGGTTTTCTTTTGTTTTGTTTGTTTGTTTTGTTTTTACAAGGTTTCACTTTGTCGCCCAGGCCGGGGGCGCGGTTTGCATGAACAAGGCTAACCACAGCCTCAACCTTCTGGCTCAGGCAATTCTCCTGCCTCACCCATCCAAGTAGCTGGGACTACATGGTGCACTCCACCCATACCCAGCTATTTTTGTATTTTTTGTAGAGGTGGTGGTTTTCCCATCTTGCCCAGGCTCATCTTTTTATTGGTGATAGCTTTATAGGGTGATGTTAAGAAAAAATTTGGGCCGGCGTGGTGGGCTCAAGCCTGTAATCCCAGCACTTTGGGAGGCCGAGACGGGCGGATCACGAGGTCAGGAGATCGAGACATCCTGGCTAACACAGTGAAACCCCGTCTCTACTAAAAATACAAAAACTTAGCCGGCGAGGTGGGAGGCGCCTGGTAGTCCCAGCTACTCGGGAGGCTGAGGTAGGAGAATGGCGTGAACCCGGGAGGCGGAGCTTGCAGTGAGCTGAGATCCGGCCACTGCACTCCAGCCTAGGTGACAGAGGCGAGACTCCGTCTCAAAAAAAAAAAGAAAATTTGACATTTTTCAGTAATAAATCTCTTCGGTTGTTCATATTCTCTCGTTACTTATGTCTCTTAGTTGACTCTTTCCAAAGATAGATTGCTTCAGAATCTCACAGACACCCCTGGTTTAGGTACAAGTCTATCGGGTTTTTTTTGAGACTCTGTCTCAAAAAAAAAACAAAGATAAAAGAAAAACAAACATATTTTATCTATATTTCTAGATAATTTCTTTCTTTTTTTTTTTTATTTGGAGACGGAGTCTCGTTCTGGCT